CAGTTCACACCCCATCACAAGCCAGCAAAACATCCACGAAACAAAGAAAGGTCTGTCACAGCCAAAAAATACACTCCAGACACGCCGCTGGCACTAGAGGCACAGCATGGCCGCCTAGTAAAGGCCCCGACCACTGCCGCTCGACCTGACCGGAAAAAACCGTAGCAGGAAGCTAAACAGAGCTGCCCTGTAAACCGTGGGCAGAGAGGAAGAAGAGGACAACAAACGACGGGCTGTGACATATATAATATAAGGGTGTCGATCCTCTCACCTGATGATCAAAGGTCCTGAGTCCCTGGAATCAGTGAAGAAGATGTAGAAGCTGTGAATGGCGTCTCCACAGGGAGGTATTCGTTGCACCTGATGGACAAATGAATTAATCATAGTTGCCGGTCCCGCATTCAAACAGCTGGTGAATTCATTGCAGAAGCATACAGCATTCCTACAGAGAAGACGATGCAAGATGGAACAACCTGCAACAAAAACGCTACTGCCATAAGCCTCGTAGAACCTTTTATCATCTTTTTTTCTTTTTTTGCCAAACTTCATGCCCATACACGAATCCGCACCCCCCCCCCCCCCCCCCCCGCCACACCAATCACCAGATCACAAGCCAACGTGATTCAGAAAAGCACACAAGAGAAGACTGGATCGCACCCAGCAGAACCAGATCCCCGCCCCTCCACGCTCCACGTCAATCATCCAGCTCCTAAGCTTCTCGAATACAGTCAGATTATCAGTGAGCGATGGAGTACATGAATCTGATCCTCTCATTAAGAATCAACAACAACAACAACTTGGACGCACAAGTCCCAAAGCTGTCAAAACAAACATGGAAATCCGCAGCTTTGGGACTTGTGCGTCCCAGTTGCTGCGTCCCGTGGCAAGGAAACACATTTGCTGCAGGGACGCACAAGTCCCATGGGAATATCCCGCTGAGATCAGCAGAGTTGAGCCAGCCATGGCAAACTCACACCCATTGCAAGACCAAAGGGTATTGCACGATGGGGGTGCACCTGTTGCCTCTGCTTCCACCATGTGGGCCAGTATTTGGCCACGAGTGTGCGCAAGAGAACAACTGAAGTCGTCTTTGATCCTCGCACTCCTCCTCGCACTCCTCTCCTTCGCTTTCTGGTTCTTGTCCTCCTCATGGGCTCTTTGGCTTTACCCTTATCTCAGCATCCTGTTCCTCCTCTTCCTCCTTGCCACACTCTCTAACTCCTCTCCCTCATCTGCCCCTTGTTTCCCTCCTACTGCGCAACCCCTCCCATCCCCCTTTTCTATCCGCCGTCTTGCCCGTGCCATCATCCTCTTACTTGTGTTAATCCCCTGCTTCTGCATTTCTCCTCTTCCTCATACATGATCTGCTACTACTCAACCTCATCATCTTTCCTGTCCTCCTTGCCCCCCTCTTCTCCATCTCCTGTTCGTTCCCTTACTCCTCCAAGTTTTCATTCAAACTCTTCCGCCCTTCCTCCTCCCTCCCACTTCCTCTCCCACACCCACTCTTCATCCACCTTCCACTCCTCTTCCTCCTCATCAGATGCCCCCTGTGTCTTCTCGCAATCCCCGCACCTGTCCTCTACCTCCAACTCCTCATCCTCTTTCTGTTCCTCTTCCATCCAGTCATTCCCATACTCATTCATCTCTCCCGCCACCTCCTCCTCCTCCTCCTCCTCCTCCTGCTGCTGCTGCCCCTCCCTTTCTCAAAGGTCACAAACGTAGCCAGCCTGGCGTGCCCGCAGCCTGGCTTATCCAAGGGTCACCCAAGATACATTGCTCTGTTTCTGATATTTATTCAGGTACTTGAGACGCCTGTTTCTGATATTTATTCAGGTACTTGAGACGCCTTCGAGGTTTCGCCTACTTTGCAGCAGAACCCAGTAGGACAGAAGCAGAGAGTGGAAGTTAGGGGTAATCAAGATGGTACGAAAGGACATAAGTAGGAAAAAAGAAAAAAGAAAAAAAAAAAGGAAAGGACGTAGAATGAATTCCTGCTTGGGAAAAGCAATCCTGAAAGATTCAATCAATAACTACAGAAGGGAAGAAACTCCAAAATTGTGAACAGCTGTGATTACACTGGGAAGGGTTGTGCAGATACGCCACTACCACAAGGGGCGTCAATTTCATTATGAACATAGACTCTTGCCTCTAGGATACATACACCTGTTGGCAGGGTTGTGTGGCGGTCGACTACCGACTCCGATTTTTTACCGTTCTGCAGCTGAGAAGTCCGCAGAGGGAGCGCATCTGCTCTCATTTGAAAATTCAGGGGGCCGCTCTGCGCTTGCCGAGAACAGCCCGTACCCGCACTCAACGTTTCCCTTTGTTGTTGTGGTGAAAGGACCCTGAGACAGCAGCATTGATCGCTTCCTGATCCAGGAAGGATGTAATACTGCTCCACCCCTGCTTTCCTTACTGTGGCCCTATTCTTCGTCGTCTTTTTTCCATAAAAAAGACTAGCTTCCTCTTCCCCTATACGTCAGTACATGGAAGAAGATCCTGACATTCTTGAATCTGACTAGCCCAATGTCAGTCCACTGTCTAGGAGGATAGTCCGTCGAGGGTTACCATCTTCACTCGAATAGAACGCCCCGTCATTATAGCTGTATTTGGCACAACTTTCAGCCCAGATACGGCGATAATTTCCAGGCGTTCTATTTGGGTGAAGACGGTAGCAACTTAGCACCCTCGATCATCACTTTTGAACCAATGAATCTTAGACAGATGGGGGTGGGGGGGGGGGGGGGGGGGGGGGGGGGGGGGGGGGGGGGGGGGGGAGGGGGGAGAGGGAGACGAAGGAATGCGCAGAAACATATTTTTTCTTTTTTTCTTGTAAACATTGGAAGAAGGCCAATTGCACTTACCCTTAGAATTTCAACAAGAAGAAAAGCTGCCAGAGCAATGCCAAATGCCAGTGACAGAAAGTCCCGCTGCAAAACGTCCAGGACCACACCAGTGACAGCATTACACAATTGTTAGCCAATGCAGCACTTTGCAAAAACGCTTGGTGGAAAAGATGAGCGAGCATCCACTTAAAAAAAAAAAAAAAAAAGGGAGCATCCACTTCAGAAGCCCGAGGTCGAAAGGGCAGAGAGTCAGAGACACATCAATTGCAATCAGTTAGACAAGCAGAAGCATAATAACCAGGAAGTGGCAGAAACGTAGACACTGAGTCTGTCTGTGACGATCTGTTATCCCCTCCGTATCTTCCAGTTTGCTGAGATCAGGATGCCCTTTCGAAGTCTCACTTAAGGATTGAGAATTAAAGTTATTTTTGGACCTCGCTCCCCTATTCAACATTCTGCATGCATTTGGACGTTTTCTGGTCCAGGTGCGTCCACATGGGTCCAACATTTTGAATGAATCAGGGATGATTATGAGGTCCACATACATATTGAGTGTTGTGCAGTGGAGCGAGGCCCATTGTTCACCACTTTCCCAAGCAATATCCCCTCAGCAGAATTTTCAATTCTCAAACACCCACTCTTTGGTGCTCCGCGGCAACCTAGGCTAGGACCCTCAAAGACGGCTTTTCTTGGGAGTCCCCATGTTCCATCATCTGCCAATTGCAAGGAATTGGTTCTCTTATTAGCATGCAGTGCCATGCACTTCTTCTTCTTCTTTTTTTTTTCTTTTTCTTTTTTCAGCATGCACTTCTTAATTTTTGAGCCAATCCTCCTTTTTTTTTTTTTTTTTTTTTTTTTGAAGATCCTCCTTTTTTCCTCGCCCCTTCCTTCCTTCCTTTCTTCCTTCCCTCCTTCCTTAAGGGGGGTAGCCCCTATCATTATTGTTCAGATGGAACAGATTCAATCAGGTGTGAGCTCAAAGGTCAAGCCTTAGGGTTGGTTTATTAACAGCTCCATGCGTGTACGATTCAGCCTTCGCTTCTCTCCTTTCTTTTTTGTTCAGAAGCTTGGTTACTATGCCCCCTCCAGCCCGGCGCTCCAACAACCCTCCTTGTCATGCCAGGAAGGTAAAAAAAGAGGTGGGTGTTTGTTTTACTGGAGCGGATGGTGGGAAATTCAGGAGTTACGAGTCTTACAATCCTGGCTAGCTTGCAATGCAACGACCCAAAAGGACGACAATGCAATTCAATTGCAACTGAAATGAAAGAACTTGGAAAGAGAAATAGACAAAGGAGGAAGAAGAAGATGATGAACACCAGCAAAGACCAATCTCAATCCCCCCCTTCATCTCGCGACCAACTTCGACCTCAACTTACTCCCCCAACTCTTCGTTTCAATAGTAAAAAGTAATAATAATGAAAGAATGAACCAGAACCAATGTCTGAATCCTCTCCCCTTACTGCCAGCTGCTCAAGAGGTCCACCATAGCCATATCATACAACCCCCTCCTAGTTGGTCGAGCAGGTGGCTATGGCGGACTACTGGAGTCAAGTTCTGATGTTCGAAGGACAACACAAAGCTAATGTGTCCCTCCTACTATGGAGGCCATGACTATCACTACCCCCGGAGTCTTCCTTATAGGTGCCAACCCCAACTGGGGCCTTCCACGTGCAGGACCAACCAAGGAGATGAAGATGCAGACCACCATAGCCAGGTAAGCTCCCCCATCACTCTCTCCCTTGCCAACCATCTTCCTCCTCCTCCTCCTCCTCCTCCTCCTCCTCCTCCTACACTTCCCCCTTGGCTTCTTCCACCATAGCCGAGGTCGCAGGCCAAGCTGCCTTCTTCCTTCATTCAGCGCTCCTCCGCTTGGGCGGTCGCTCCACCAGCGTGCCACTGAACTGCACGCAGGCAAAAAATTAGGAAGAGCTCTTCGCTGCTTCCCTTGAAATACCGGACTAGTGCCTCTTTGTGCGGTCACTTCCAGGCCGTGCGGCCTCCAAGTCTACCCGGCGGTATCACTGCTGCTTGGAGGGGAACATCATTGCAGTCTGATACCCCCCACCTGAAGGCACTCGACTCAGGCTACTTGGACCGGTACCTTTTTTCTCTCTAACCCTACCGGACTCTAAATTCTACTCCGCCCTCCAACGTACAAACCTTTTGTCTTCTTCTGCCTACCTACACGCTACTCGAGAGTGTTTTCGCCTTCACGGGCCTTTTCCTATGCTACTACCCCGCTGTGCCCTCACAACGACTGTTACATGCTGCGCCTGCAACAGGCTGCGCGGGCCATTTCCAGGCCCGTGACGTTTCCAGGCCAAAAGCCTGAAAACAAGGGCCTACAGGCCCTGTGCCATTTCAGCCTGAAAGCCTGAAAACAAGGGCCTACAGGCCCTGTGTCGTTTCAGGCTAAATCAGGGCCTTTCCGGCCCTGAGTGTTTTCAGCCTGAAACTGAAGGCCATTTCCGGGCCCTCATCAGTTCGACCTGCCCTGAACTCAGGCAACAAACCAGGGTTTTAGCACAGGCCATTTCGGGCCTGTTTTCAAGACAACCCCTGGTTGAGCTTCAACGCCAGGGTCTGGCACGTTTCGGCATTGGCAAGAGCAGCCTCCTGGACGGGCCAGCACTATATAGGACTGGCCCGCCCTGCAGGCAGGCAGGTAGTTCCTAGGTACTTCCCAGGCACTTCACGTGCAGTTCAGGAGGCAGGAGGTAGTCTTCAGGATTCGGCAGCAGCACTCTGGAGGAGCGCTGCAGGAGTTGGAGTAGCGTTAGCATTAGTCTTCAGCGCTGGGCGCTAGTAGCGTTAGCTGTAGTCTTCAGCGCTGGGCGCCATAGAAGCTAGAGTAGTACTATAGAGAGAGAGATTGGGCGGAGGCCAGAGAGACTTACCTGCAGCGCCATTGCTCCAGCTTTGTCTTCGAGGTACCTGCAGCACAGCGCCATCTTCACAGGTTAGTACCTGGTACATGAGAGAGAGAGAGTTCTTCTTCTTCCT